GTGCATTCGAATGCTAGAAGCAGAATTTGCAGAGGAAAACTAATGGGAGGCCATAAAAAAATTGTGATGGGAACAAAGCTCCAGGCCCGATGGTTTAAACCTTTATGCTTCAGAGACATTGGAAGTTGATGAAGGGGGAAGTGATCAAATTTATGAAGGAATTCATACTCATGGTAAACTGGTTAGAGGCATCAATAGTTCCTTTATAACTTAGTGCCTAAAAAAGAGAATGCAGGGGGTTTGAGAGATTTTAGGCCCATAAGTCTGTAGGGTTCTCTTACAAAATTTTATCAAAGGTGCTATCATGTCGACTTAGTAAGGTTTTGCCCCGAAATAATTAGCGAAGCTCAATCCGCCTTCCTTCGTGGCAGGAATATTCTGGATGGAGTCCTTATAGCAAATGAGGTTGTTTGATGGTGAAAAAAGTAAAAAAGGAAGGGTGTGATTTTGAAATCGACTTTGAAAAGGCCTTTGATTCTTGTCAATTGGGAATTCTCTTCTCTTTGTTGTCCAGATCGGGTTCGGTGAAAGGTGGATTGCTTGGATAAGGAATGTGTGTCCACTGCTAGGCTTTCGGTCCTTGTGAATGGTTCTCCAACTGAAGAATTCTCTCCCCAAAAAGGGCTAAGGCAGGGTGACCCCCTCTCACCTTTTCTATTCATTATGTGCAGAATGCTGAATGTCCTCTTGTCCAGAGCTCTAGATTTGAATTTAATCAAGGTGTTAGGGTTGGGTATTGGTGTTCTGGTGTCTCATTGCAATTTGCAGATGATTCTATCCTATCTGTGAGGCTGATGAAGGGAAATAGTCAATGTTAAAAGGATCCTTCGTTGTTTTGAACTAGTTATCAGGGTTGAAAATTAATTATCATAAGAGTGTGGTTTGTGGAGGTAGGAGTGGATTCTGTTGCCCTGGTTGATTTTGCTTGCCAAGCTGAACTGCAAGACTGGCTCATTACCTTTGACTTAATCTGGGCTCCCTCTGGGGTTAGTCCTAGCAAAAGGAAGTCCTGGACTCCAGTTCTTGAGAATGTTAAGGCTAGGCTGGCAGGTTGGAAGAGGAAGAATGTTGTCCTTTGCGGGTAGGTTGGTGTTGATTAAGTCTGCTCTCTCTTGCTTACCAGTTTACTATTATCTCTATTTAAATCCGGAGGGTGTGGCTAAGGATTTTGAAAGAATCCAAGCAGCTTTTTTATGGGGTGGCTCGGATCCAAAAGGAAGGTTCATCTAGTCAAATGGAGAGGTTACCATAGTATTGAAAATGGAGGTTGGGTGTTAGGAAGGTTAGAGTTGCTAATTCCTGCTTGCTACTGAAGTGGTGGTGGGTTTGCTTGCGAGTCAAAAGCCTCTGTGGCGAAAAGTAATTTGCAGTAAGTACAAACATTGATGAGTGCTGCTGTTGCCGACTTCTGGTGATAGCTGGAAACAGTCAAAATATGGCGAGATATTACAATCACTGGCCTCTCTTTACCCCTCAATGTTGGAGGTTTTCTTAATAATTTCAGCGTGCAGGTGGGAGATGGCTGTAGAATAAGATTTGGGAGGATTTGTGGTGTGATGGCCACTGTTTGAGAGTTGAATTTCTAGGCTGTTCAACTTGTCCAAAAGAAAAGAAAGGCACTCTAGACTTTTTGTTGAATCTAAAGGCATCCTCAGGGGAGTGGAACATTATTCAGAAGAGAGTTGTTTGAATGGGAAAGAGTTTATTTGCTGAGACTGGTTTCTATTCTCTCCTGGTCCCTTAATTAGGTTGGAGAGAGTTGATTACCCTAAGTTGTCGACCACATCATCAGGTCTCTATTCAGTACGCTTCTCTGTATAAGCATTGTTCCAGTAGTTGGGAAATCAACTGGAGCTCCTAGAATGCTGTGGAATAAGGTTTTACCCTAAAGTCCAGTTTTTCGCTGGCTCGCTGGAAGCATAAGATTAAGACTCTATGTTCCTTCAGAAAATAGCGGTCCCCTGGAGGAACTTCTACCCTGTGTTCTTCTGTAAGCATGATGAGGAGTCGGCTGTTTACATGTGCTTCTTCATTGCCACTTTTGTGTGGTTGGTATGTCGTCCTTGCTTGATTGGTGGGGTCTAGCTTGGGCAATGCTCGGCACAGTTGATGGTTGTGTTCAGTGGTGGAGGGTGGTAAGTTTCAGAGAGAGAGAAGGTTGTATTGGAATGTATCCCTGTAACCTTGGTCTCTTTGGAAGCAAAGAAATGACTGTGTTTTCAATAACGCAGTAGCTGATGTTAGATTCTCTCTCTGATCTATTAAGTATAAAAGTGGCTCTTTGCTAAGTACGCTTCAAGCAGTGGCAGTAACTTATTCATGATTTTGCTTTCAATCTCACCTCAGATTAGAAGTGTAATCAGTAGCAGGCTAATTCTCCTTCTGTTGTATGCTACTCGTTGTTTTGAGTGATATCAGAAGAGGTTATCAAGTGAGTCACGTTGTTTGCAGGGGTTGTTCTGCTGTTAGTTGCTAGCTGCTGGTTGGTCTCTGTTGATAGTCTTATTTTTTTGCTTTGGTTCCCATCTTTGATAACGCCTTGGTTGGCTCCTCACCAATCCCGGGTCCAGTGCTCAGCATATGATTGCGCTTTATTGCGGTGCCACCTATGGGATTGTTAAGTTAGCTATGATGATCCTTGCGCTCCTGCCTTTGTTGATGTAATTTTGCCATGTCATGCCTGCTTTCATCAATAAAGGTCTTTCTGATCAAAAAAATTTAATGTGTTTAGTTAATTATATAAATTAATTTGAAATATTTAAATATATATATATAATATTAAAAAGGAAAAAGTAAATATTGATAAGGATTTTATATAAAAATATTATATTAATAATATAATTTATTGTGATTTATTTTGTATAATTTATTATAATATCAATAGTAAATCATAAGAAGGCTAGGAAGAAAGAAGAAAAAAAGACGGAAAAGAGGCCTTCGAGAGACTGCCGCGAGAGAAGAGAGAGAGAGTCCATCAAGAATCAGAGGTGTACTGTGAAGTCAAAGACAGCGGAAAAGAGGAGTGGAGAAGAAATGTTTAGTTTCAGTTTTTGGTTTTATTAATTTTTAATTATTCTTGACCTTTAAAAAAAATATGTGAGTACAAAATTATTTCTTTTGATTTATGTTTAATGTTATTTTTATTTTTTTTGAATGTAGTTTGATTGTATTTACATAAAGAGAATTGATGATTTAATTATTGATTAGTTTGTATATCATTTAAGATTTTATATTTATTATTTAGCGGTTGTTATCACACTCTTTATTTATATGAAATTAAATAAATTGGGAACCCATAAATAATTTCCTTATACTACACATGGACTAATGGTTGTTGTTTATTTTGAGTGATTGGGAGAGTGTATAAAAATGTGAAGTGAGATATTTATTTTATGCCTTAGCTGGCTGTTTGTTGCTTTGGTAGATAGTAGATTGTGTATTATTTTTCGTCTCGTTCTCCCATCGAGTAACGTGTGCTATGATTTTAGACAGCGTACGTATATGCAACCTCTGGGTGTGGGTCAAACTTGAGACGATAATCCCCGTACAAGTTTGGTCTTCGACCAGTGTTAAGATATACGGGAGCACATGAACAATATATGTGTATGGCTGGACATGAAGGCAAAGTGGCGGAGTTAAGGTAAAGAATTTAAATATGAATTTATTGGTATTGTCTGAAGTTGTATTGATTTTGTAACATCCTTGCAAAAATAAAATTACCTTGAAAATTGAAATTTGGGCAGAGCAGTTATATGTAATTCTAGCAACTTTTGTATTTAACTTGTACTAAGATCGATTAATTTACAATCGGATGATATCATTGTGTTATTAGTAGTTTTATTCATTTAGCATACAGATTTTAGGAGGCGTTTTAACCTCACGAACGAGCTCAATTTTATGGATTCCTATAAATTGAGTAAAATTATATTGAGCATTGTTTGTGTTTGAACTTTCTAGAAAAACAATTTCACTTATAGAATTTTCTTTGTTTAATTTCAGAATTTTCAATCGAATTTCGTTATATGATTTTCTATAAGTTTTTGTCTTAACCTGTTCAGTCTACTCAATTCGTTTTGCGCCACCTTTATAAGAATTTTTGATTCTGTACCAACTTTGGTTTTTGAAGCTTGGCAATTCGAATATTTTAAGCATGAAACAGTTGTATTTTTATACTTTTTTTCACAAGTTACTTATATGAATTATACTACTTATTATTTTTTGGTAAGGTAGGGTCCTCTAGATAATTATGCAGGGCGACCACCAATATTTTATTTTGTCTAATTTTAACCAATTAATATTAGTTGTTACGGAAAAAACTAAATGTCATCGTATTTTCGTCGGGAACACCCGTCCCCTCGTTGAGGTATGAAACACTTGTCTTATCCCCGTAACAAAATTAAATGTGTTTTATTTGTGATTGGTGGACATGTGGTTCAAATAATGTACTTTACCAGTATACTGTATACTAACTCGATTGTCTCTCTTGTACCGGGTGCGTTCTGTTGAGGCAGCGAATTTTCCTTTGCAGAGATAGTTGGACTGTAGTGGAAGAGAAATAAATAGTTTGTTGGACATGTCTTTTTTTCTGAGTAGGTTTCATTTTGGTATTTTTCTTGATCTAATAGGATTAACATTTGAACTTATTAGTTTACTGATATTTTACTTTAATTGGAGTATTGTAGTATAAAATGACCTGGTTGTTCGTTTGACCATTTGCTATGTTATGTAACTTATCACTATATTCTAAGTATTCTTGATACAGTGATTTGTTCACTTCCTAATGTTGGAAGATTGATAGAAATTAAATAAATTATGATGATTTGTGACTTTGTCTATTTATTTTATATAATCTTATAGGAATTTTCTTAATCTGAGCATTAGATTTACCTTTATTTGAGAAAATATATTAATCTATTATATTTTGCTAAAAAATGACATTGTCCAATAAAAAGTTACCTATTAAAGAATAACAACCACTTTGAACTAGGAAAAAATGGAAAACAAATTAAAAGGCCGAGTTTTAATTGTTGCTCAAATAGTGGCTATAATTGTTCAAATGTAGGTTATAATGAGTAGAACATCAATATTTATTTTATTTAAGTTGCATTATCGGGAACCCAAAAAAAATAAAAAATTCGAAATTACGGTCTGTGAAATTTAACCATGCAAATAAATAAAAAAGTCAAAACTCTGGAGGTATTAAGGCCTCGTTTGGGAACAATGTAATTAGTAATTTTGCTATTTGGGCAAAAATGACTAGAAAAAGCTAGTAATGTTGGATGATTTTTTTAACTTTTACGAAAAGATGTCAAAAGTAGAAAGAAAAGAGAATCTGACTTTATATGTGATTATTACTTTTGACTAATTTAGTAACCTTTTGACTTTTAACTAAAAAGTTCAGTTACCAACCCGGACCTAAGTTTAACAAATAGGAACAAGAGTTGGTTCCAACCCCTCCTTCCTCTCCTCTACTTTCAATGATCTAAAAAGATCCTATTTTAGTCCACCCTTACTTCTCTCCTCTTCTTCAAGCTATGATAAGGATTTGTAGACTTAAAATCCATGGATCAATCAACTACTAAAAGAGTCCATAGTAATTAATTTGTATTTTGACAAGTCATAGGCCATTAACACGTTTAATGGGGACGGAGGAGAAAGGAGCAATGTTTTAATGTTGTTATTTAAAAATCAAGTCATATTAAATACATCATAGTATATAAATTATATATCATGACTATTCCTAACAGATCTGAAAACACCATCGAGGGATGGTCGGACTTTCCAATCCTCTGAGAAATGCTTCTTAAAGTGATTACACACTTCTAGTTTAACTTCTCCAGGATCTTCAACCACCCTATCCCCAACAGTAACAGAATAGAGCCCATTCTTGCTTTGCCTACTGGTGGCCATTACATGGAAGTATCTGGTATTCTTATCCCCCTTCAAAGCCCAGTCAAGTCTCGCTTTTTGGAGCCATATCCACTCAGCCTTCCTACTTAGCTTCCAAACTTCACTATTCACCACATTTCTCCTAGCCTTTTCCGAATCTACTAGAGCTCTTGTTTTTGCTAGCAAATCAAGATTGTTCAACTCCTCTTTGGCATTCTTGAGTTTAGCTGAGACGTCCCCAAAAACTTCTTTATTCCAATTTCGCAAAGCCTCTCTAAGCAGTTTAAGTTTGCTTTGAAGAATGAAACCAGCCCACCCATCTATTCTTGCCTCCTTCCAAACTTTCTCGAAAAAAGTTGAGAACTGATGGTGTAACAGCCAGGCATTGATGAATCTAAAAGGTCTAGGGCCCCAGTCCCTCTCCTCCTCCATGAGGATTAAAGGGCAGTGGTCTGATAAGATTCTAGGCAAACCCCACAATTTGAGTTTAAAAACTTCTAACCATTCAGGATTAACTAGGAACCTATCTAACTTGCTCCACTTAACCCCTTCTTGTGCGCTGCACCAAGTATACTTCCTTCCCAGCAAAGGAACTTCAGACAATTCACATGACTCAATGAAGCTATTAAAATCCAGCATACCCCTATGCCTTCTCGAGCAGCCTATCCTCTCACCCACACATCTGATTTCATTGAAGTCACCACCAAGACACCAGGGCTTAGAGGAAGCAGATTTCAACCTTACCAGAGTGTCCCAGAGCTTCCTTCTCCTATCCACTACATTAGGAGCATATACATTAACTAAGACACATTCAAAGGAATTGAGAATAGTACCTGAAAGTAGTATAAAGCTCCTATTACAGCAGCAATCTGAAAGTTGAAAAGTCCCTGGGTCCCAAATGCATAGCAAACCTCCTGAATTCCCATCTGAATCTACATACGTGTAATCCATTCTGGCTTTTGGCCATAGGGCTTTAACATCTATCTCAGTACAGCTTGATAACTTGGTCTCTTGGAGGAGAACAATATCAATTTTTCTGTCTATAATCATGCTTCTAATCTTACATTTTTTCTCCCTTCTACCCAATCCTCTGCAATTCCATGATAGAATCTTCATTAGAGGAAAATCTGTCGCTGGATCCCCTCTAAACAGAGCCCAACTCACGACCGCTGGCACCCTCTCATCCGCCCCATGTCCTTTAGTTCCATTTCTGAAATCTTCCTTAAGGCCTCTGCTTCTTTCCCTTCGTAATTAATCCCTAACAGCCTCCCCATTTGAAGAGTAGCACGAGCTTCTTCCCGGATTGATCTCTCTTCCCCTGCGCTGCTGCCAGACGAAGTGGAGGGCACTGAAGTTGCCACCGTCGGCCTGAAGATGCCTCCCTTGGACCCTTTCTTACTAGCTGATGCATTTAGTTGGTTCATACTTCTAACAAACCCAGAAAAACCACGGATTTGCTTTTGATTGTGATGCCCCAAATTCTTTTTCTCGCCCCTCTTTCCATTGCCCTTCGAGATTTCCTTCTCTTTTAGCATTGCCTTCCTCAGTTTAGACTGACTGGGTTCGGTGCATAACACAATAGGCCTACTCTTAATGGATTCCTCATTGGGCCTATCTGCCCCGGTCTTATTTGGTGGACATTGCTCAGGGTCTGCCCTAACCACAGACTCTGGAGGCCCACAATTGATTGTTCGAGCTTGGCCCAAAAAGACCTCTAAGCTGATACCAGGCCTAGCTACACCCGATCCACTACAACTTTTTAGAAAACCTGGTGAATACACATGACCCTCCACCTTTTGATAATCCTCATTTGCCTTTCCGAAGTCATGCAGTGAGGCGTGTGAATATACCTGACCCTCCTCCTGTTGATAAGCCTCGTTTACACCCTTGTCAGGGCTTCCCAGCACCATCATTGCCTCTTCCTCACAAGCACCGTTTACCTTTCCGAAATCATGCAGAGAGTCATCAACTGCCGAAGCGTGCAATAACCCATTCACTTCATCCAGCTCAACCTCTTTCCTTATTTGATATGTTTCACTAACATGATCCAGCTCATTTCTTCTGGCCACTTCAGCAACTGACTCAGCTGCCCCGTCATACCTCTTCACCTTCTCCTCACAGAGTTTGCCTTGAGGTCCCTGGGCCGTATTGTTGAAGAAACCGGACTCTGCATCATGATGGATCTTGCATTTGCACACCGCTCTCACTACTTCAGACACCACCCTTTGCTCCTCGCACACTCTTATTGAATGGAGCTTTCCTTTACACTTTAGAGTGATGACTTTATTAATAAGTTCCATGCTTTTTGTTGCAACTCTGACCTTTGCACTTCTGAATGAAGTCGGATTGCTAACATCACCTTCAAAATTAAGGACTTCACCCCACAAGCTACCAATCTTCTTCAACGTACTGCTACTCCAGAGGTTAAGGGGAATGCCATAACAGCTTAGCCATACCCCCCTCTCCTGGTCCAAATTTAGACCAGCAATCCATTCAGTAATAAACTCACTCCAATCATGGATCCATGGGTAAAACAGCGGCAGTTTAGACGTCTTCTGATCCTTAGAATCGAACGTTACAACTACATCTCTGCCACCCACCTCTCTTACCAAAACCTCACCCACTCCTTGTATTTTTAACTCCTCTTTCAACTCTTGAGCACAGCGATTCGTTTTGAGTCTTATAATAACACTCTCGTACAACCATCCATTACCCACCTCATCAACTTCCACTATAATGCTACCCCGATCTTGAATGGTCTTGTCAGCAACTACTTCTGCAAAGGATCTATGGTCCCTCAACTGAACCACACTCCTATCACCTCCTGCATTATAGAACCTGCGATTAGTAAGGCCTTCCACCGGAGTATGAGGATTGACCCTTGGCCTAGCTCTCTCATTCCTGTACTCAGCACTCTTTACTTCCAAGGCCTTATCGTCAACCCACAAACCATTAGCTTTTTGGATTGCCATTTCCATGGCCACAGGGCAGTCAAACCTGACAAAACCAAACCTTGTGTTCTTCACCTTGCGCCTCTTCTGTGGAATAAAGACATCTTTAACAATACCGAACTTCATAAACAACTTATACAACCCTTTTGGATCCATGGAATTAGGGATGTCATCCACAAAGACTGAGAATAGGCCCTCTCTTGGCCCATGATTTCTGGTATCTTGACGTCCACGACGGTTAAGCACCGGAACCCACCCTCCTTGTTGCATGTTCTGATCTTTTCTTTGCTTTTTAAAGTCAATTATTAATAATCGTCAATATTTGATCATGTTGAATGCCGTGCTTGACTTTAAGAGCTATGCAAGAAAGAGATCAGGTCTACCTTTGATCATGTCACCGTAATCGTCAATATTTGTTCACAAGATCATCTGTTATTTCTCTTTCTTTTTTTCTTGTCTTTTTTATTAACAAATTTCTTTATATACTCCATGACACTGACCTTTTAGGTTGAAATATCAAACCAACTTTCAAACACCATAATATTGTATATACTTTCTGTGTGGGGGTAAATCTAACTACACAAATAATAAAATCTGAGATAATTACCTTTTTTTGGAGATATCAGGAAACAAAACCAATAAATTAAGATGTACTCGTTGAGATGTAAACCTGCAAAATCAAGGTTAATACCTACCTCAGTTTGTCGTGAACCATGGAAGCACTCCGATGTTACAGTTAATAACAATCTCACAAATACTCAATGCACAAATAATGAGAAAGCACAAAATAACACATTAAATTCTTATGTAATCACGCAATTAATAAAGCCAAAAATAAAATAAAGTAATAATAATCAATAATGACTTACGAAAAATCAGATTGCTACAAATATACTTCTAATTTTTTAAACTATTTTAAAGATATTTCACCTTAATTCCAATGTTAAACAATGTTTAAGAACACTTGATAGAATTTACCTATTTTATTTTGGTACAAAATAAAAACATCATATTGTAGCTAGCCCTAAAGGGGAGGGAGGAGGATAGGGCTGACAGGGATGAAACCTCACAATCAAGGTGGGCTTGTGAGAACCCGACCACTGGGCTCCCATGGTCCTTTCGAATTGGCCAATGATTAAATAGGAAAAACTAGGTTTCTTTTTCAAGATGAGGGTGTCCAACCCAAACCTCAATTAGTCAAATACTACAAACTTAATTTAATCAATTAATGAAAATGAAAAAGATGGACCCTTCTATTATTATGGTGTCCTAAATCTTCCCAACCAAGCAACAAAATGGGTCTCGCAAATAGGTAGGCTTATTTGATTGATGCAACACCTGATATTTTTTTTTCTTCTTGCTTTTTGGCTGTAGTGAGAAGAAGCACTTAACGAGAAGTGCGGACATGCATGGAATTGAAATCACTATAATGGGAATTTTTGTAATTGTACTCCCCTACTGTAAATATCAACTCTTTTATTTATTTTCATTTGATAGTCTACAATTTGTGCATGATCCTAACTTAAATGTGTTTGTGTCCTGCTTGGCTGCATGATGGGGACATATATAATGTACCATGCTTTTGTATTATTTTGAGCTTATGATAGGTAATTGAAATGAAAATTATTTAGTAGTTCGAGATGACGACATAGGCACATGGTGTTCTTCATGACTTATGAATTCGTGTAAAAGGAAATGAATGATGCCGATTTCATCTCCCTACAAACTTAATTTAATTAATGGACATATTAATCGATTCAGTTTCTTGACAATAGAAGATACAAAAGTTATTAACGTTAATGGGGATGATGTTTTCATCATGCGTAGTTAATTTTAACACAATAGATTATGTGTTCAAATTAACTAAGGATGAACATATTAAAAATGTAAATCATAATACTTGTAACAATTGAAACTTTTGGTTGGGCTAGTGATTAGGGATTCAACATTTTGAATGAATGATTGAGGAGGCCACGTGATTTGTAGTAGAATGAAGGGGTCATTAGGGCATGTGAAACCCCTTGCTTAAAGCACCCCACCACCACCACCCCCTTCCATCAAGCACATACATATGTAGATGAGAAGAGATGAGTGACCATACTAGACCAATCCCACGGTGACAACTAACATGATGCTCACGTTAGTCCATTTCTAGGAGACACTCCCATGGACCATCTGCTTCCTCTCTTCACTATCGTAGGCCCCCCTCTCCTCCATTCAACTTCTCTCTCTCTCTCTCTCTGTGAAGAATGTATGCAAACCAAACACAAGAAGGTCAACGGCAATTTGATATACCAACTACATTGATTGAAACAAAACAACAAGTAAATGCAAGAGAGTCAAGAGTGAATCACAAGTCTTCTTCGTCTTCCATTAAAAGAAAAATTATGAAAAAATGAAAAAAAAAATTGCGTTATTCCTCGTGATAAGCCTTTGACTTGAATGAAAGTCTGCGTAATGAATTGGGTTCTTTAATTTACTCCAAGCTTTGAAGTGCTGTGTGGTAATTTGCTGTAATCAACAGTTTTGCAACTTCGTACAGTTCAGTCAGATATGCATTTCGTTACTGTATGTACTGGTTTTTTCATGGAATACAAGGCTAAGATTATAGATAAATCCGACCAGATTTCATTATTTTGTTATGTACATTTTTTTGGACTATTTTTTATTGCGTCTCATATACGATGTATTTGGTTGAGAGATTTGAAGAGAAAGAGAAAATGTACGTGAAATATAAATTAAATATACTTACATATCACCTAATTTCATACATCTTTTCCGTTTTTCTTTCTAAATTTCTCCCCAAATCTTTCTAAATCCCTCAATCAAATATAGCGTTAATGTTCACGAAGCATTGCTCCATTCGATTCACAGGTTAGACACTTAGGCCTTGTTTGGTTTGCTTTTAGGAGAGTTGTTTTGAAAAAAAATTCCAAAATTTTGTTTGGTTTGTGGTTTTTCTTAAAAAAATTTCAAAATCATTTTCTCTCTCTTACACATCAATCAATCATTTTTTATCTCTCCTATCTCGTTCTCAATCACTTTTTCTCTCACAAACATCTACTTAATTACAATAAAATATTAAATCATCTCAAACTCCTAAACTCTAAAACTACTTTCAAAATATATAACCAAAGAAACAAAAAAAAATTCTAAACTCTCTTC